TTCGATTTCAATATTCAATCTCTGAATGAATCCAAGATCAATTGCGAGATTTCATGAAAAATCTTCATATATCCCCAAATCAGATTATGAGAGGCGTCATGGGGATACGACATAGATCATGAGAGAACAAATGGAGTGTTTTCGGGGGCAATTTCCCGTTGCAGTCGACCTCTTTGTGGCGAAGCTTGTTGGTTTTCGGGGGTACCACCCGGTTGCAATTGAGCATTTTTTGTGAACATTGTTGGGGCTTCGGGGCCACGCCCCGGTTTCAGTCGACCTCTTCGTCGCGAAGCATATTGGTGGGGTTGGGGAACGGAAACCTGCCATGTTGTTAGTGGCAGCTGGACTACAAGCGTGTTCGTCCCTTTCCTCTTCTCAGCTTGATGCTTAAGCCTTCGGGTCGGAGGTGATGCCATTCTCTTCAGGTCAGATCTTCCGGTCTTCCCACAAAAACCCAGGGTTAGCCACGAAGAGGTCGATTGCAACCGGAAACGTCCGGTTGAAAACGGAGTCCCGGAGGCTGTCGCAGTGAACCCTTCCAAGTGAGTGCGTTGGAGGAGCGGCAGCGGTAACGACGAGTAAAACCAAAGAAGGAGGGCGGAGAAGGGGGAAGAGGGGGGAAGAAAGAGGGAATGAGAAGAAGCCGGAGAAAACGAATAAGGATCGGCACTGGACCAACCTTTGGAAGGCTAGGATAGGTGCTCATCGGGCGTGGTGATGGACCACCAACCCCGAAATCATCGCCCTTAGTGCCGTCACCTAGCGACCTTCACCAAAGGAAGAGCCGTCCAAGGCTGCGGGGTGCAACCATTCCGCATTTCAAGAACCCCGGCATTCAAAGGCGACGATAGTTTCCTATTTCGCGAACCCCGACGTCCAAAAGCGCCGAGCGAGAACTCTGAACCTCCGCGGCTAGGGCTGAACCAATATGCGTGAGTGCCGACGTTCTGCTTTTGAGCTTAAGGGTGTTCGCGCCCGACTAGGAGTTTTGTTTAGGGTTTGGTGTTTAGGAGTTTAGAGTTTATGGGGATATAGGGCATCTGCCTGGCTGCGAAGTCATAGCATTTGAGGCTTTGCGGTTCTCCGGTCAAAGCTCCACAGCGTTTTCATCGAGTGCTTCCAGGTTCATGCGACTAGGACGTGCGTTGAACACAAGGCGACGTGGCAGGGCCCGAGGTTCGGATCGGAGCTAGAGAACCATCAAGATCTAAACGAAGCCTATATCCGAAAGAAATGCTCAGTTTTCCATGCCGCAGAGTGCTCGCACACGGCGCTGCTCGTCAATCTAAAGACGGACTATGATGGCCTCTTGCAGGCATAGACATGCGAGGACTCCAACCTGGGAGCGATCTGCACTGGTGCTGCAACGCACCCATACACCCTGAAAGCACCCAGCACGCTCTGAACTCGCACCCCACGTCACCAGCCTGAATATTGCAGGATGTAGGTTAGGGTGTGGATTTTAAGGCTTAGGCTTTGCTACACGAACCTTGAAGAAATCCAAGGACCCTCTTGCAGAAACACTCCCATCTACAGCAAGTAGTCAGTCAAAGATGCTACACCCGTGGAAACCGGCTCGCATTGTTCATGCTGCAGAGTTTTCGCACACAGCGAAGGTCGCGAAATGCTCCCGCAGCCTCGTCCACGTAGTCTCAGAATTCAGAAGCACTGAATGACATTCCTCCTGAACCCTACTAGTAAACCCTAATACCCAATAACCCTAATAGTCGAAAACCCCAAATACCCTAGTACCCGAATACCCTAATATTCGAAAAACCCCAAATACCCTAAACCCTTACACTCACCATACTCCGGACCCACTTCGGTTTTCGGGCTTCGGGCTTCGGCTCCAATGACATGACTGTGAGTCTAGTCTTTCTGGAATCTGTGACTGAACCCTAAGCCCTAAAGCTTACACCCGTTTTTGAACCCGGACTTGCTGACTGCCAGGAAACGGAGGGCGAGATGAGACAACTCCCAAAAGCTTACACCCTAAACCCTAAACCCTAAACCGAAGCTGAATGCGCAAGCACAAGGTTTGCGGGACTTTCGCATCGCCCCGGACTCCTCACACATGTGTCTTGTAAGGGACCATATGGGGGTTTCCGAAGGGTTTAGGGTTTAGGGTTTAGGGTTTAGGGTTCAGGGTATAGGGTTTAGGGTTTAATCGCTCACACAGGGTTTAGGGTTTAGGGTTTAGGGTTTAGGGTTTAGGGTTTAGGGTTTAGGGTTTAGGGTTTAGGGTGCCATTTTTAGGGGTCCCCTTAAGGGGATTCTATTCTATTTGGGGTATATAAAAAGGGTACCCTATTTTGGGAGATACCCATATAAAGGGCCCATGGCACTCCCCTCAGAATGCGTTGCGTTGCGCTGCCCATATGTCAACTTGTGCTGTGCACTTCGGAGAAGCCGGGGGCGACAAGAATTTCTGCGGGACGGCTAGAGGCTTGAGATAGCCGTGGGAACCCTAAACCCCAAACCCCAAACCTAAACCCTAAACCCTAAACCCTAAACCCTAAACCCTAAACCCTAAACCCTAAACCCTAAACCCTAAACCCTAAACCCTAAACCCTAAACTCCCTGCGCGGGCCTCACGAAGACAGCCGCAGACCTCAGGAGGCAACTCTGTCACGGAAACCCTAAGCGGCCCTACTCTTACCAGTTCGTCGAGGTTGAGGAGGCTTTTACTGTATATCCCTGCACAGCACTTTTTTTCACCTTGTATGTAGCCCCTCCCTAAACCCTAACCCTAAACCCTAAACCCTAAACCCTAAACCCTAAACTCTATATCACTGAGAACACTGAGGCCCTGGAAACCTGTACCTTCAGCGACGACCGTTCTGCTGAAGTAGACCCCAAGCAGTGTAAGCATGTGTTGTATATGATATGGCGTGTATATCATACCGGATAACAATACAATACTTAAATACTCTACGATGTATGACGTACGTTTATATATATATAGAGTATATACATATATAGAGTATATAAGATACAGTATGAAATATAAACTCTATTGTGTATGACATACGACACGTAATATTACACTGAAAAACAGAATGTACGAACACAAAATAAACCATTCTAACATGCATCAGAACGCAGATAGTGGTATATATATTATACACAAACTGTACAATGTATAAGAAATAATATATCATACGCAATGTAATGTGTATGTTATGTGCTAAAATACATGGTGCCAACATGTGTATGTATGTATGTATGTATGTATATGTCTATGCCTATGCATATGTATATGTATATCGTCTACAGTTATACGCTCCACACTATGCAACAGATAAAAGGCGAGAAATACCATACGACACATATGTGTATAACATGTATCCTATCTAGAATATTTTATAAACATCAATATCTATATCTACTGTATATGTGTATATATATATACATATAAGCTACGTAGGATAAAACATCATGTTCGCTTTTTCCATGATAGACTTTACATAGCATTTCGTTTAATGTGCATCATAGACCATGACGATGGCCAATCGCAAAGTGTCACTCACGAAACATCATTTGAGGCCACAAGCGACGGCAGCTCTGCACTTCACTGCAGGATGCCAAGGAAACCCCAAACCCCAAAACCCCAAACCCCAAACCCCAAACCCCAAACCCCAAACCCCAAACCGAAAAAAACCCTAAACCCTAAACTAGAGTTTGGGGTTTAGGGTTGAAGGGATGCACGGAGTGAAGCCGTCTTGAGAGCCTCTTAGTAGGGAACAAGAGGTTAACCTTTGGGATTATATAGATTGGGATTATATAGAGATTCTCCCCCCAAAAGGTTGAAGGTTACCTACCCTACTACTAAGGCCTAAAGGCAGCCAAGAAATCACTGCCAAAATCACAACTTCTCATGTCCAACGATGCCACACGCTTGGGTTTGCCAAGAGACTCTGAAACCAGTGGTCTAAGCCACAGCGCCCGAGGCCGCCCGAGAGCCTAAATACCCGAAACCCAAGCCCCAGAGTTCCAAAACCCTTTTGAGCATCAACCCCAAGCCCACAGCTAACGTCGCGCCTAAAGACCAGAGCTGTGCAAACGAACCCTGCACGCGACGTGGGCACGACAGTCATCCTTAAGCCCCCATACGTGCTGCACTGTGTGTTTAGGGTTTAGGGTTTAGGGTTTAGGGTTTACATTTGGGGTTCCCCCCCTCTCAGCACCCAGGAGTGGCAACAACTCCAGAGGTAAACTTGCTATCGCAGCCTGCAGCAACATAAGCCAAATCTGGGTCAAATGAAGCCCTGCTTGGAAATCTAGCAACGCGAACTGACGCTGGGTCGTGTTCAGCCTTTCTTGCTGGATATGCTCAATTCCAGCAGTCGATTTCATTCAAACCTTTCTGGACTCTGAAAACCTTTTGAATACAGGGGCCTGAATATTTCGAATAGAGTTTGGCGGTTATGACCGTATACATATACGGACCACAAGGGAATACTACTAGTAATCATTCCGACCCCTATACTATACCCCTGCCTAGACCCTAAACCCTAAACCTGTAAGCTTGAAATTCTGGGCTCCCTTCGATTTTGGCTGGAAAGGATCCTCGGTGCTGGAAGATGGCCTAAAGGCACGAGGTTCACAACCTTCAGGGCTTAGGTTTTAGGGATTTAGAGGGTAGAGGGTTTAGGGTTTAGGGGTTTAGTTTAGTGGGTTAGGGGTTTAGAGGGTTTAAGGGCTTGGGTTTTAGGGCCTAAGCCCTACAAGCCCTTAGGCCTAAACCCGTCAACCCCACCACATACAACCTGCTCAGGCCGCGTGTTCACTGGGGTCCGGGCCGAAATCAGCGAGTCGAGGTCGTGCCACGCGGGACCAAAATTGTCTCTTAGTATTGCTTTGCTAAAAAAGTTGCCTATTTTGGAGCCAACTTCTTCTGTGCGCAGACTCTCTGCCTGCGGAGAAGTCAGTTGGGATTCGGTGCGCGGTGCCGATTCCACCGTGGGACACGGATGGTGCTCCCGACCTCGCTCTCTGTCTCTTCTGTCGGTACGGGTGGCGGCGGCTTCTTGGCAGGGACGGGAGGCACAGGGTGCACGAGGCTGGCCGCAGAAGCGGTGAAGTCCGCGGCCTGCAAGGCAGGAGGGTTTAGGGTTTAGGGTTTAGGGTTTATAGCTTCTCGGGCGGATGGATGGGTGGCTTACGACAGTCCTGGGGGCTTTCAGGGCTTAGTAATTACTGTGCTCTGCCGAAGTGGGATTGATTCGGTCTTTGCTTCAGGCTTTCGTGGTTTGATGCCCACAGGCGGTATTGACACCTGCTGCAGTATGAAATGTGTTTAGAGTTTAGGGTTTAGGGTTTAGGGATTAGTGCATCCAGAATCTCGTGACATGGACCACTGAGAATCTTCATTGGCAGCGAGTTCTTATCGTTAGTATTCCTGCAAACTAGGTCGTCAACATGTCCTACAATGAGCCCGATGCAAGCAGTGCGGAGTGTTGGTTCTGCAAAGACTGAATCCATGAGTCGTTGTGGGTTATAGTTATTTGCTTTGGCACCTGCGAAAGGAAAAGCAGCCTCCAGTTGAAACTACAGCAGTTCGAGGAGTTGAATGCTGCTCATCACCACACTTGACTGTGTTCACAGCTTGAATGCCAGCAGTGGGTGCCTCAAATTATGACATTCCGATTCTCTTCAGGTTCACCGTTCACCGGCTTTGGGTTTAGGTCGGGGGCTTGGGCTCTCAAGTTCCGAGGTGAGGGTGCCGTGCAGTGCTAGACTTCACCCTAAACCCTAAACCCTAAACCCTAAGCCCTAAACCCTAAGCCCTAGGCCATCCGTAGCACAACAAACCCAGCAACGCTTCCCCTAAATACAGACATGCCTAAGGAAGCTCACCTCCCCCGATTGGCAGTTCTCAAGGTTCTTGTAAGGTTGACCCTAAACCCTAAACCCTAAAATCCTAAAACCGTTAAACCTAAACCCTCAACCCCAAAGGTAGTGGTCCGGAGATTTCACTCGGCTGTAGTTGGTGCAGGGCCATCTCAATGGTTATCAGCTATTCAAACTTTAGGATTTTATAGGGTTTAGCGTGTGGGGTGGAATCTTGGACCCAGATTAACAGCATCCAGATATCTCACCCGACCAACATCAAATTGAGCAAAGTGAAACATACACGATTCGAAAGTTCAAAGCAGGTACTTCAACTATCAAAAAGGCCAGTTTGAATAGTTGGATGAAAAGTGGTCGGGTTATTTCTTTTGTGGAAATATTGTTCACCAAGTAAGTCATTTCAACTAGATTCCAACCCGGTGATATCCTGGATCCAGAGTTAACGGAATCCGAATGTGCCAGTGGCTACTTAAATTACCTAAACCCTGAACCCTAAACTTAAAACCCAAAACCCTAAACCCTAAACCCAAATGCGCCAGACACATCGGTGAAGGTCTAGACTCGGGGATAGGCTTCACCCCGTTTGAGTAAGTTTCGGTAGTTTGACTACTGTAAATACTTTGACTAGTAGAAGAATTGGGCTCAATGTTATTGTATGAACTATTTACGTAAGCCAAGAGAATTTGCAACAGCGGGTTTGGGGCCCCCCTCTGTTTTCCTCTTCCTGCAAGATATGACATAGCTGCACATGGTGGAAATTATTTGTGTGTTTGAGACGCTCGCGACCCGCTCCATTCGACCCACCGCTCCGTCTACCCGCCGTGGACCATACCGACTTACACATGCGCGCTAACATCTGTTGTCACATAATGCAAACATGACATGCGGGGTTATCCGGTCCAATACTTTTCCTGCGCAGCCTTCCGAATCAATTTTCGAAAATATTCCCCGGACTACCCGCCAATGGAGCATTGGCCTTGCCAGGCTCTCCCAATGGCGTGCGTAAACTTATAGGTCAAACAGCAGAATTGGCCCGGTTTTATTTTACGCTTATTCAATTTGCCTGGCCAATCTAACATGGAACCGGCCCCATTTGCGCGCGCACAACAGCAGGGTCTTTTGGAGGTACCGCATTTGTACTACAGGAAGAGGAAAACGGTGGGTGGGGGGGGCGGGGCAAACCGCGCACGTACAACACGGGGGTCCCCTAGAGGTACTGCTTTGACTACATGGAGGAGAGGGGGTCGGGGTGGGCGGCGGGCGGGCGGCGGGCGGCGGTCGGGCGGCGGGCGGCGGGCGGCGGGCGGCGGGCGGCGGGCGGCGGGCAGCCAGCATTAAAAACAAGAACCCCACACGGATCTCGCTCAGATCTCGCTTAGATAACAGTAGTTTCGACACCGCCGTATCTGGGCCCTCGATCTTGCTTCCTTTGGAACGGTTTGAAAGGAACTAGGAATGCACGCCCTGAGTATGACTCCTACAACGGAAATTTAGTCCATCGCTCCTGTAGGGCTTGTTCCCGGCAACGTGTCGGGCACGTTGTGGTGAGGGCTCGTCACTGGTTTCAAAGCTTCGGGCAGCAGCCGCTCACTCCGTCCAAAATTTGATGAAGCTGCAGCATCATTTAAACAAGTGCAGCAAATCAAAATGAACGAACAAAGAACATGAGCAACATGCAAGCAATAAGCTTAGAGAAAAAGACCACAACCTTCTGAAGGGTGTTCTATTGGACAACAGTGGCACGTACAACAGCAGATTCCAATAGAGTAACTGCATTTGTACTACAGCAGTGCTACGGTGTACTACAGTTGCTACAGGAAGAGGAAACGGGGGGGTGGCCCCAAAAAAGCGCGCGTGTACAACAGCAGGGTCCCATAGAGGTACTGCAGTTGTACTACAGCAGTACTACGTTGGTACTACAGAAAGAGGAAGCAGCCCCAAAAAGCAAGCGCGACGGAGGAGCCGGAGGCAGAGGAGGCGGGGGAGGCGGAGGCGGCGGCGGCGGTAAGCATTAAAGACAAGAACCCCGCACGGTGATGTGGGAAAAAGAGAGTGTGCGGACTCATGTGCGCATGAACCGTATTTCATATCGTATATCAAAATGATTACAATTTACGAAAAGCCATATTTTCTTCTAACAAATCTTGTATAGATACTGCAAAACGCAGCAGTTTACATAGAACCCATCTTATCGGTCCAACCGGAATCCAGTCGGGCACTTTAGCACACGTAAAGTGAGTGGTACGCACCGATCAAGTTTGTAATGTGTGTATGAAAAAAGTAAAAACCGCTGTGAATACCCATGGCTTCTGTCATCGAGTAAAGTAAGAAACGCAAAGGGCAGAATGTATAGGACATGTATGTAAAGTGTGGTCTTGGAGAGGCTGTGACCATGCATATTATGTATGTTCATGTATATACCATCTACTATATAAAAAACACAACGCATCTAAACGATGGGTGAAACACAGTATATATGAGGGTTTGGGATGTTTCCCCTTCTAAATGAGGGTGTCCCTAAACCCTAAACCCTAAACCCTAAACCCTAAACCCTAAACCCTAAACCCTAAACTGTAAGCCACTGGCGCACCAGGGCTCGGGTCTCAAGATGCTTCAGAGAGCTTCAACTCTGAAAGCCATAGACTCCCCAAAAGCGCCTGGGGGGTACTTGTACCATCTTGTACCTAAACCCCACACCCTAAACCCTAAACCCTGAACCCTGTAACCCTAAACCCTAAACCCTAAACCCTAAACCCTATGCCCTAAACCCACGCCGTTTTGGGGTTTTGAGGGAATTCTGGGTCCGTCTTGGGAAAGGCCCGAACTGAGGGTGTCGTCTACGCCGAGTAGCAAAGGAAGTTTAGGGTTTAGGGTTTAGGGTTTAGGGTTTAGGGTTTAGGGTTTAGGGTTACCACAAGACCCGTGAACCCTCAACCCACTGAAGCTTGAGCTCCAAGTCCTACTAAACACAAAGCCCTGAACCCTAACCCCTACGTCTGAAGCCTACACCAAGGGTGATCCTGCCTTGGGGGGCGGCGCCGCCGGAATTTTTGGCTGGACGACCTGGAGGTCTAGGTTTTTGTTTGTCCTAACACTGAGGGTGCAACTGTAGATTCTGAACAAAACTCTGCTCCTCTAGTCAACTGTTCGCTCATCTTCCGAATCCCAGGGAAATCAATTTTAGACCTTAGGGCTGTGCGTGGAAGGGGCCTCAAGCATGCACTCATCGCTAAGCTGTAGGTGCCACAAGCAGGCTCGGCAATAACAACATGCACCAAGAACGGGCGCAGGCGTAAAGTCACAGACGTTTCTCCTGACAACAAGTTTAGGGCTTAGGATGGTTTAGGGCTTAGGACGGTTAATGGTGGCCTTCTCTACATAGGATGGCCCCTACAAAGCCCTTACACCCAATGAGGGACTCTTACGGAGCAAAACCCTAAGGGTCCATGTACCTCATCATTATATACTTGGGCCCCAAAGTCCCTGGAAAATGAGGTGCTTTATGGCCCAAATCTTCCCTACTTAGGTACTATGGACCCTAAGGGCCCAGTCTCCCTAAACCCTAAACCCTGAACCCCACACCCTAAACCTATGTTGAGTGTAGGGTTTTGAGTTTCCATTAAGTGGGATGCTTACAAGTCAGCGCTGATGAGGTCCGTACATCATGGGGACCTGCTGTCCAGATTCGGGCAAGGCAATCGTATTCCAGCAGGCTTTCAGCAGGAAAACCCTAAACCCTAAACCCTAAACCCTAAACCCTAAACCCTAAACCCTAAATCCTATGCACCCAACACATTCGCCCCCAAGGCTGCACACAGTTGATGGAACATGAAGCCAGCTCCCCTTCGCTCATATGAAGCAGGGCTTTTAGCATTAGTATCCTCAACAGGACACCCAATGCTCTCATCGAAATTTTTGTAAGCAAGCCTAGAGACACTCACCAAATAACAGTTAGATGAACCCCCGTTTCATATGTGGGGATTTCCGAACTTGCGTGGACCTTATGTGGGGTTAATCGCTCACTCTCGGACAAGCACGGCGAGGCACACACTGTCTCACAGTTCCTCCATGAAGCTCATTTGGGCCCCGGTGATCGACAGGGCTTACGGCTTAGGGCTTAGGGGGGCTTAGGGTTTCGCTGCCATGCACCATGAATGGTATCAATGTGCCCAACACCCGCCATCCAGCTTCTGGCACGGGGCTTGCTCGAATTCTCTGGCACCAAATGCCAGGAGCACAGACTTCCATGAACCCTAAACCCTAAACCCTAAACCCCAAACCCGAACCCCGAACCCTAAACCCTAAACACTACAGCCCCGCCAAGGCCGCTGCTCGTGAGACCCCGACCGGAGGAGCCTTCGTGGGGCGGTTGTCCTCAATCTCCTGCGGCCAAGGACTCGGGTTTAGGGTTTAGGGTTTAGGGTTTGGGGTTTAGGGTTTAGGGTTTAGGGTTTCAGGCTGCAGGCTGGCTTTCTGGGTTTGGGCTTGAAAGGCCTTCAAGGCCGCAGGAATCTGAAGCCCTAAACTCGGTAAGTGGCCCTCAGTCCTCCATCATAAGATGAAGACTGTGGGTTTTCGGAAGCTGAAACCTGAACCCTGAACCCTGAACCCTGAACCCTGAACCCTAAACCCTAAACCCTAAACCCCAAATCCTAAACCTCAACATGGAGATGGGCTTGAACTGTCGGCCTCCAAGCTCACCTTACAATAGGCTTAAGCTGCAGGGACAGGGCGCAGGGCACTGCCCCAAGAAGCGCTCAGAAAACAAGCAATACATTCATTGTCATCGTGTTCCTTTCCGGAGAGTGGAGCACATTCCAGGCCCATCTTTTCCACATGTACAAAGTGTTTCCCTGTGAGTGGCTGTGTTCTGCCACGCATACAAGACTACTTCCCGCAGCCCTCCACCCTGAACCCCAAACACGTCACCTCCCACCTCGGTATCAGTTTCTTCTCAAGAGTGGCAGTCGGAGTCGTACACCGCAAGCCCTGAATAGCCTCTACAAGCTCTCTGCTCGAGGGCCCTTGTCCCTAAACCCCAAACCCTAAACCCTAAACCCGAAACCCTAAACCCTAAACCCTAAACCCTAAGCCTAAAAACCCGAGCGCCCACGGGTGTCCGTGGCAGGGTTGGCGAGCCGTGCGCTTGGTGGCAGCGCTTGGGGCACGGGGGAAGATGCCGTAGGCGCCTGGTGAACCCCGTGTCGTATTTTGTTGTGGGGTTTAGGGTTTAGGGTTTAGGGTTTAGGGTTTAGGGTTTAGGGTTTGGGGCTACTTTTGCAAGGCTACTGGGGTGGGTGATGTCTGTGGGAAGGAGGACTTACGTCCGTTCCGAAGGTGGACATGCCCTTTGCTCTTTAGTACGCCTTCCTCTTTTAGAGCTCGACTCGCTTTCGCAAGCATCCAAAACCCATTGCCATGGCGCCCCCACACACTAGTATTCACAGCGTCTTGCCGCCCTTCTGTATTTTACGTGGCCCAGAGATTCTTGAGGTTTCTGCGTTCGCACGCGTCCACGCCGAATGCAATCGTGCAAGAACACTGTTTTTGTTGCGCCGTTTTCGTGATTTTGCAACTCTTAGCCGTTAATCCAAAACAAGAAACATGCCTCTCCAACATCCCCTAAACCCTAAACCCTAAACCCTAAACCCTAAACCCTAAACCCTTTCGGACTATGGAGCGGCAAGTGCACGACAGCGTGGCCAGCATGTGTTAAAAAGACAGCGTGCCATCACTGAACCATTCAACAAACATTGCGGCACAGCATGACCCGTGGACCAACTACTTCTGGAGCACGGCTGGTTAAACGCCGTGGATGATTCGAGCAGGGTCGTTCCATGAAACGTATATCTATATCTATATCTATATACATAATATACATATCCGTGTGTGTGTGTGTGTGTTTGTTTGTTTGTTTGCTTTCGTCTTTCTTGCAAATTTTCAAGGGTAATGACTGTTTTGTGCACACCCGCTTGCCTGCGTTGGGCAGACTGGCTCGTGCTGGCAGATTGGAAAGATGGCGGCTGTGCTGTAGGTTTAGGGTTTAGGGTTTAGGGTTTAGGGTTTAGGGTTTAGGGTTTAGGGTTTAGGGTTTAGGGTTTAGGGTTTAGGGTTTAGGGTTTAGGGTTTAGGGTTTATATTCATTCAGAGGCTTTAAACGGCGAAAGGGGAACCTTTTTATGTCAAACGCACCATCCGACTACACCGGTGAGAAAAGAACAGCCTCATGAGCTTTGCGTGCCACATGGTTACACACTAATCCTATAGGGGTTTTTGCTGAGGGCGGACTTCATATTGGAAGCAGGGGATTGCTTAACAAACTAGCCGCCCTAAACCCTAAACCCTAAACCCTAAACCGCAAACCCTAAACCCTAAACCCTTGAACCCTAAATCCCAAACCCTACATACCCGAACCGTCATGGCCCCGAAGGGCCTGTTATTGACTATTCTTACTTCTTCTTGATTATTCTTAATTGCTGTGAAGTATTCTTTTTGAACTTAACTACTTTTAAAAAATCTTGTGAGTTATTCTGTCATGAGAGGCTTGCCCGGAACCCCACCAAAAACATTCTTCCTTGAAGGCAACATAGGGATTACCTTTGATTTTGATTTTTTTGGGGGGGTTCTCAAGCAACCAGTAGAAATTGCATCTCATCTCCCAAAGTGCTTCTGCTCTCGCCTTGGCTGGCACCGTTCCAGCTACCCCTGCGGCAGGTGCCTTGGTCATTGGGACCCTAAACCCTAAACCCTAAACCCTAAACCCTAAACCCTAAACCCTAAACCCTAAACCCTAAACCCTAAACCCTAAACCCTAAACCCTAAAGACCCTAAACCCGAAATCCAGACAAAGGGCTGAGGGTTTGGCAGTTGCAGGTGAGCTTGCACCCAAACCATCCTTCCCAACAGGAAAATTGTAGCTCCCAAACGGTTAGGGTTTAGGGTTTAGGGTTTAGGGTTTAGGGTTTAGGGTTTAGGGTTTAGGGTTTAGGGTTTAGGGTTTAGGGTTTAGGGTTTAGGGTTTAGGGTTCAGGGTTTAGAGTTTAGGGATTAGGGTTGAGGGTTTAGGCCACAACAGTATAGCCACAGATACAACTCCGAAAAGGATCCCGAATCAGTTCTGTGAGGTGGGTTTGAGTTCGTAACATTGACCCTTGGTAGGGGATAGGATTAGGGGGACCCTTTCCGGATATAGACCCTCTGAATAAGGTCCCTGCTTAAGAGAGCCAGAAGAGGGTTCAGAAGGGGTTCCTGTTTTAAGGGTCCCCCTTATCCTACCTAGGAAAATTGGCAAGTCTGAGGTTTCTGTGGAACCTTATGATTCTCAAGTGCTCAGAATTCATGGACCGACAGATGAGAAGTGTCTTCCTGGTCCTGTGAATCTGTCACACCCGCGGGAAACTAAACGCCCCTTCGGTGTGATTTCGGGCCACGCTACGGCCACGTTAGGGCTTTGTAGGGTTCTCAAGGTTCGGGCTTAGAAGCCCCTCAGTCTGCTGAGTTGGCTGCGCGCAGTAGTGCCGCTGGCGGGGCCTTCGTTGGCCTATTGTCGTCCTGCTTCAGAGGCTACCGGATTCGGGAGAGTTTAACATGTAGGGGTTTAGGGTTGAACAGGCCGCAGCGGTTCTGGGCTATTTGGGTTCACACGCAAATAGGGTCTAGTATCAGATTTGAGGTACTCACGCTGGAGGCTTTTCTTGAGGGCATTACGCTTGGACTACCGGATTGCTGGAGTAAGAAACGCATGTCCAAAAAGGACGTTTCATCGGAAGTATCTTGTAGTGTGAGTTGACTGTTCTGAAAACGATCTGGTTACTCTTGCAAGCTACCCGCTTGAACCGTAGAAAAACCAAAGCCCGATCAGCGTTTTGGGTTTCTAATGTACTCAACTCCAGCCACCCTAAACCCTAAACCCTTTTTGCCGGAGGACTCTTTTGCGTCCTAAGCCCTAAACCCTAAACCCCTTAAGTACTGCGCGCGCCACACCATCTTCGACCCCTCAGAGCACCAGAAGGCCTCCGCAGCCGGATACGCTGGCCTTGCTTGTTCGGCTCTTTCACAGACAGCTTTTGGGCAGTCCTCGAAGTCGGGGTCCCCTTTTTGGATCCTGTATATAGTATAGGGTTTAGGGTTTAGGGTTTAGGGTTTAGGGTTTAGGGTGGGATCCTGAAAAGGAGGGACAATGATTTAGAGAACGACGTCTTGCAAAAAGCAGTAGGGCAAGGTTGCAGAAGGTTACGGCTGTGTCCTGCTGGGTGGTTTCGAGAGCATGTTGCCGCGAGCCACTCTCAAAAGGAACATCCATCCGAGTTGCACGGCGGGCGGCGCTTTTTGACGGATGGGCGCAGCAGTCGAACTGGCGTCCTCTTGTTCTTGGAGACTTTTCGGGGTTGATCTCAAGCACGGGCCTTTCTGGCACTCAGGAAGAGAGACCCCAAAGAAACCCCAGATTCATGACCAGCAGTTAGACCAACTCACATTGCTAGCGGAAACGGGGGGGGGAGTTCTGGGTTTAGGGATTTAGGTTTTAGGGTTAGGGTTTGGGGTTTGGGTTTAGGGTTTAGGGTTAGGGTACCTAAAGACCCTACAAAGGGAACAGCCTGGCAGCATGGCAGAACAATGCAGATCAACCTTGGAACTTGCATGAGCCTGCGTGTAAGGGCCGAGTGATCGGATCGGATGCCCTAGCCCCTAAACCCTAAACCGCAAGGGTTTAGGGTTTAGGGTTTAGGGTTTAGGGTTTAGGGTTTAGGGGGAACCCTCAACCTTAAAAGCCTGAAGCCCTCACCGCCTCAGATGCCTTTTGAAAGGCCCCCGGGCCCTGGGGTTTCAGGAGGTTGACGTTCCGGGCTGCGGAGTTCAAAGGGCAGATCGGATGATCGTTTCTGAAGGCCCAGAAGCCCCAAAACCCTGAACCCTAAACTCTAAAGCTAAACCCTAAACCCTCAACCCTAAATCGCACCAGAGCAGAAGATGCAGAAGGAAGGAGCCTGGGATGTCGGCATCTTTGGCGGCACTTTCGGTAAGACCTCCCCCGCGGCAGAGGAAGGGTTTAGGGTTTAGGGTTTAGGGTTTGGGGTTTGGGGTTTGGGGCTTGGGGCTTGGGGCTTGGGGTTTGGGGTTTGGGGTTTGGGGTTTGGGGTTTGGGGTTTGGGGTCTGGGGTTTGGGTTTAGGGTTTAGGGTTTAGGGTTTAGGGCTTAGGGTTCAGGTTTCGGTTTTAGGGCTTAGGGTTTCGGGGGTCCCAGACCACAAAAAAACTCAAGGAAGCCTTGTTTGGTTCAAGCAGGAACTACCTGAAGACTCTGATGCAGTTCCTTCATTAGGATTGGGCTTCAAGGGCCCCTAAACCCTAACCCTAAACCCTAAACCCTAAACCCTAAACCCTAAACCCTAAACCCTAAACCCTAAACCCTAAACCCTAAACCCCAAGAAAGGGCACCCTAAACCCCAGAAAGGGTTTCAATCGTAGTGCAATCGCCACCCGGATCTAACTCACAGAGCCTTCGGGGACGAGTGGTTGACGGGCCCTCTCAAAACTGAGCAGGCGACCCTAAACCCTAAACCCTGAAGCACGGACTGAGGCTGCCGGCAACACCTGAAAGCAGGGCCTTCTTGCCTTTAGCACCCTAAACCCTAAGCCCTAAGCCCTAAGCCCTAAACCCTAAACCCACAACCCAAAGCATCAAACGAGCCAGCCGCTAAGGCAGCAAGGGCACAAAGACCTGTGGAGGTCTACTTCAAGGTGGAATCTAGGTTTAGGGCTTAGGGCTTAGGGCTTAGGGCTTAGGGCTTAGGGCTTAGGGCTTAGGGCTTAGGGCTTAGGGCTTAGGGCTTAGGGCTTAGGGCTTAGGGCTTAGGGTTCAGGGTTGAGGGTTTCGGGCTTAGGGCTTAGGGTCTAGGTACCACCCCAAAAAAAACAAAGTCCCAAACCCGCAGGAGCAGCTAACCGGCCTGAGCCCTGACGCGAAGCCAGGCAGAAACCCCTAAACCCTAAACCCTAAACCCTAAACCCTAAACCCTAAACCCTGAACCCTAAACCCTAAACAATAGAAACCCAGAAGGCCTGGGACTCCTCCGCCACTTGGCCGGAGGCTTTCCTTGCTTGCTTGCATAGCTGCTTTGCTCATGCTGTGCTCGTAGGAACAGGATAAGCAAGATTAAGATCGCAGATCGTATTGATTTAAAGGGTTTAGGGTTTAGGGTTTAGGGTTTAAGTAAGCTTTCCAACAAAAGCCAAGAACAGCGAGGCTATTCAGAGTAGAAATCATGATTAACATAACAATGATGAATGGTGTGATCTTTGGGGTGTGACTTCATGCTGGGAGCTGGCGATGTTTGGGAGAACCGCCCCCAACGTCTGAGCGTTCAAAGACGAAGACCGAGTCGCATGATGGGAGGCGCCTTTTGCGGAATGGCTGCTGCGGAAGGGTCGAGATCCTTCAAACCCTAAACCCTAAACCCTAAACCCTAAACCCTAAACCCTAAACCTTAAACCCTAAACCCTAAACCCTAAACCCTAAACCCTAACGGCCAGGGAGCCATGAGGTCGACGACTTGGGGAGAAGGGGTAGGGGTTTGGGGCTTCTAGGGTTTCGTAGAAGTGAATCGCACGCGCACCTAGAAGGGCACGGGAACCCTAGGGTTTAGGGTTTAGGGTTCAGGGTTTAGGGTTTAGGGTTCAGGGTTCAGGGTTTAGGGTTTAGGGTTTAGTTTGAGGATTCAGAACCGGCATGAGGACTCTGTTCAAGCGGATTTTTGCACTGCCCAGAGAACACAACATGCCGCATTCAACAAGCATGTAAACTTATCAGGGGAAGTCGCTAAACCGAAGCCGCTCAACAAAACGATTCCCCCCTCGCTTTGGGGCCAATGCACCCCACACCGCGCCCTTTATCCCTGCAAGACTCCGCAAGCAGTGGACACCTGCTCCAGGAATGGCAGTCAGAAACCTAGGATTTCGGCCTAATCCCTGAACCCTGAGGGTTTAGCCTTTTAGCTGTTCGTGATTGGGATCTTGGTGGCCATCGCTGTCCAGGTGCTGGGACCATGGCGCAGAGGGCGTGCTGTCATATCGGGGCCTATTTTGTTGGAAAGGGGTATGTTTGAGTTATACTGGGGTTCTAAGCTGCGAATTGTTTCCCCTAAAGCCTAAACCCTAAACCCCAAACCCCAAACCCTAAACCCTAAACCCTAAACCCTAAACCCTAAACCCTTTTGGTTCTTGCACTACGATGTTGAGGCTCTCCGTGCCTGTGACTGGGTGGGCGGCCGCTTGGGAGGCGGCACGCGCGGCGGCGGCTTCTTCGCCGGGGCTTGGCCGGTGAGCTGGTCCTGAAGCAATGGTTTTAAGGGTTTAGGGTTCAGGGCTTGAGGGTTCAGGATTTAGGGTTTTTTTTTGCCTAAGGGTTCAGGGTTTAGGGATTAGGGTTTTTTGTCCATCAGAGATCTAGACCTGCGGTGTGGACTGCGCAACTTTTCGGGCTCCGAGGACTCACGCATGTTGTAATCTCGTGGTTTGCGGAGCACGGTAGCTCACAGCACAGCTTCAGCCCTCGACCGAGACATGCTGATGTCCAAACTGTGGGCGCACCAGCCCATGGATGAAACCCCAAACGCCAGCACTTTGGCACGCAAAAGCCACCATAACCCTAAACCCTAAATCCCAAACCCTAAACCCTAAACCCTAAACCCAAAATCCCAAACCCCGGCTCACCCGGGCTGCGCCTGGGGGATGGGTGGTGCCTTCATCGGCGTGGCGGACGCCGCCATGCCAAAGTCCTGACAGTTCAAAATTGGGAAACCTTCCTCTGGAATTCATAGGGCCCTCAACCCTAAACCACTCTTTCATATATAATATAAATGTTAATGACTTTGCGGGCAAGGTCCTATATTTAGCGGGCAAGGTCCTATATTTAGCGGGCAAGGTCATATATTTAGCGGGCAAGGTCATATATTTAGCGGGCAAGGTCATATATTTAGTGGGCAAGGTCCATTGGCTAAAAAAAGACCTTGCCCACTAAATATATGACCTTGCCCGCTAAAGGGCGACCTTGCCCACTAAATATAGGACCTTGCCCGCTAAATATAGGACCTTGCCCGCTAAATATAGGACCTTGCCCGCTAAATATATGACCTTGCCCGCTAAATATATGGCCCGGGCCAGGTCATATATTTAGCGGGCAAGGTCATATATTTAGCGGGCAAGGTCCTATATTTAGCGGGCAAGGTCCTATATTTAGCGGGCAAGGTCCTATATTTAGCGGGCAAGGTCATATATTTAGCGGGCAAGGTCATATATTTAGCGGGCAAGGTCATATATTTAGCGGGCAAGGTCATATATTTAGTGGGCAAGGTCCCCCCCCCCACCCCCCCCCCCCACCCCCCCCCGCCCACCCCCCCCACCCCCCACCCCCCACCCCCCCCCCACCCCCCCGCCCCCCACCCCTCCCACCCCCCCCACCCCCCCCCCCCCAACCCACCCACCCCACCCCCCACCCCCCCCCCCCACCCCCACCCCCCCCACCCCCCCCCCCCCCCCCCCCCCCCCCCCCCTGGAGCCCCGCAAAAAAGTCGATTCAAGATGGCTTCCAAAGAATAAGTTCCCGAATGACCGCGCCTGTTTTTGAGGCCCCTGAAGCCCCTCAAACGACTCAAGAACTCAAGATGGCTTCCAAAGAATAAGTTCCCGAATGGAAACATGTGGTTAACAAATCCATTCTGTTGACCACGTTGGTTTTCTTGTCCGCTTGAAACAGAAACATGTGGTTGACAAATCCATTCTGTTGACCACGTTTGGTTTTCTTGTCCGCTTGAAACAACACATGTGGTTAACAAATCCATTCTGTTGACCACGTGCCTAGAGAAGAAGGAGGTTGGATATTTTTCCTAATGGTGTGGGACCCAATGGGCGGGTGGGTATTCCCCTGTGGCCTTGAAAGCTGCTCAACTAGTGAATGCTTGGACCAGAGATGCTGAACCCTAAACCCTAAACCCTAAACCCTAAACCCTAAACCCTAAACCCCCAACCCTAAACCCTAAACCCTAAACCCTAAACCCTAGGGGTTCATATGATGAGGCTCACTTGGCTTAGGGTTTATAGGACCTTGTAGGGTTTAGGGTTTAGGGTTTAGGGTAGCCATTCCTTGTTGGGAGGAGGGAAGGGGCAGGCTTTAATCTGACAGAATTGGACTGGAGCCTAGGGGCATGAAGGGGATGCTCCCCCTTATACCAACCACAGGGATTATAAGAGGGGTACTATTATCCGGGATTATAAGAGGGGTACGATTATCCCTTTTAAGGACTGTTAGTCTTAAACCTTGGGACGCTCCCTCTTATAACAACCACAAGGGTTATAAGAGGGGTACTATAATCCCCATTAAGGACTGTTCGTCTAAGGGGGAACATCCCAACCTAAACCCTAAACCCCAAACCGCTATGAAGTGTGGAAACTGTAAGCTTGAAGTTATGGACCTGCAGGGCTTTTAGTGCTAGGACTTTGTGGGGTTTTGGGGGATTTGGGTTGCAGGATTTAGGCCCTTAGGGCTTGTAGGACTTCAGGGTCATTCTGGGCTTGAGGACTTGCATGAGCTTGGGTGCTTAGAGCTCGAGAGTCTGGGATTTGGGAGTTTCGACGCTTGGAGCCGGGGTCAGCAAGCTTTAAAACCTTGCGTACGTGTACGTATACGTATCCGTTTTCGTTATTTGTGTATGTTTTGGTATATACCGCTATAGGTATATGTATATGTGTATGAGCGATCCTCCCTGGGGTACTAGTGGGCACCCTAGTTAGCCCAAACCCTTGGAATTTTCCGCAACACAACCGACTGACTTACAGACCACCGCCACTCCCCCCCCCCCCCCCCCCCCCCCTCGGCGTCTCGGAAGGAGACCGACGTTCTCTCCGCGTGCGGTGCCTCCGACATCGTGCAATCTGCGCAGGACCCATGCCGAACCGAAGGTCTAGGGCTTAGGGTTCTACAGGAGGAACACAGGAATCGGGGTTCAACATTACGCCTAAAGCCGCTAAACCCCTAAATCCCAACGCCCAAATCTCTAGATCCAGGGGTTCGAGATGGGCCTTCGGTCTATGTTCCCATTCGCCTGTCACATTAGGTTCCAAGGGTTCAGAACGCTCAGCCGTAAACCCTAAACCGCTTAAGAGCCTGTCCTTTTGCATTGGGACACCTCTGAGGCCTCTCTAAGGCCTCTTTCTCAGAACTCCATCCGCAAAGCTGTCAGACGAACTCGGCAGACACTGAGCAGCAAGCACGAGCTCAAGCACAAACACACGCATAGGCACAAGCACGCGCGCCCGCACACCGGCACCAGGGTTTAGGGGATAGGGTTAAGGGTTTGGCACGAGAGAAACTCCACACCTGTGTCTTTGCAGAGGGCGATGTTGGCGGCGCTTTCTGCGGAAGGGGTGCTTGTTGGACTGCGTCCAGCCAGGCCTGTCACGCAAATCGGCTCCTTGATATTACATCCGGGCCCTACACAAACCCTGAGGCTCCTACATAAACCTGGAGACTCCTGAGCAGGTCATCAAGTCATCATTCAGGTCTTTGTTTTTACGGGGCAAGTATGGAAAGAATGCTCTCACCCAGGATTAGGGTTTTGGGTTTAGGCCGTGTTCCACATTGCTGCAGTCCCGACCCGGGTCATGGAGTAGTGTCGGGTTGGGATTAGGGTTTAGGGTTCAGGGTTTAAGGTTTAGGGTTTAGGGTTTAGGTTTGAGCGTGTGTGGCTGGGACGGGATGTCTTCCCGAGCGGGCGGCAAAACCATGTGGCTTGGCCGTGCAAAGGTGCCTGCGCAGCTCCCTTTAAGACTTCCGAGCCCACTGTGCGCAGCTTCTGCTGTGATAGTGTCAGCGCGCACCGAAGCCATGCGTCTTTGGCAGCTGGGGGTGGGGTTGGGTGGACTGTTCGTCTCCTGGGCTGATGTAAGCACCGGGTGCTTGCAACGGACCGATGCCGGAGTAGGATGGCCGCGCTGCGTGCCGGGGCTATCGCATCGATTCCACACCGGAGTTGTCTGTCCTTCGTGGCCGGACCTTTGGCCAGAGCTTGCTTCGCAACCTTTCTTTCCAGCACCCTAAACCCTAAACCCTGAACCCTGAACCCTAAACCCTAAACCCTAAACCCTCCTTTCTGCGAGTTGCCAACCTACGAAGGGTCCCTTGGAATTTGAGTCGGCTTGATGCGTCTGGTACCTGTCGCGGCGGGTTTAGATCAAGCAGGCTCGCTTCTGAAACTTTAACTTCACGTTGCAGTTGCCGCGCGCAGACGGGGTTTAGGCTTCATGCGTGCAGAGAGTGTAGGCTTGAGGTTTGCTGAAGCCATGTGAAAAGACTCCGAAGACAATCCTCCACCCAGTAAGGGAAAAGGAAGAATCCCAAGGTCGTACCGATAAAGCCAGCCGAAGCAACACCGGCTCACAGGCGTAGGGTTTAATATGCGACTCGGCTTAGAGTTTAGGGTTTTTGTTTGTACTATCATGGGACGACAAGGGGATGATCTTGGCAAAAGTCTTTATGGCTTGCAGGCTAAGGGCTGCAACTTGTGTTACGGCTTTGGCCTTGGCCTTTCGGTCGTCCGGACTTGGCGGAGGGGGAACGGGCCAACGGCACGAAGAATCTTGTGTTGTGGTTGCAATTCGATCTTGAACTCTTGCCGGGGGAATTTGCTTAGGTCGCCTAAACCTCAAGTTGAACCCTAAACCCTAAACCCCAAACCCCAAACCCCAAACCCTAAACCTTAAACCCTAAACCCTAAACCCTAGAGTCGATAGAAGCGGAACTGGCGCCTTTGGCGAGGAGTTTGCTTCCTTCACAGGCGTGTCCTGGAACTGGCTACACCCCCTAACCCTAAACCCCTAACCCCTAACCCCTAACCCCTAAACCCTAAACCCGAAACCCTAAACCCTAAACCCTAAACCCTGAACCCTGAACCCTAAACCCTAAACCCTATGTCTGTCCCATAAGAAGACAATAGAGAATCCCTGCCTTAAGGTTCAGAGTTTAGGGTTTAAGGAGACTTCGCGCCGCACAATCTATATAGAAAAATGTAAAATATACATTCCAGTATATACAGGTGATTTAGGGCTTGGATTTTTGGGTCTTCCTTACTTACATTTCTTTATAAGCCTCGCATCCCAATCACCTGCACCCCGAAGAGCAAATTCTTGGAGGTATTCGCGGTATGGCCTTTACGTTTTGCTTGCCCATTCCCTATACCCAAAAAACCTGAAAGAGCCACGAGAAGATCTACAAACGAAAGGCACGCGGACAAACGACGCCAACCTTGACATCCACCTTGCAGCTGAACACCCGAAAGATTGAAAGCTTTTAATTTAATTTACCGGGAATCTCGGGCCGTAGGCGTCTGGGTAGCATAAAGCAGGTAGTACCCTCCGCAACAGATTTTGTGGGGCATTTTTGGGCCTGGAACGGGTGTCGGACGCCAAACCCCCGATTTGGTTGCCTCGAACTCGTAGCCTTATTAACATTAAACCTTCCCAACCCCGACCCCAAACCCACAGTAGGTTCTAGGGTTTAGGGTTTATGGTTTAGGGTTTAGGGGCCCCAGAAAAGGGCCCTACACCTTCAATCCTTCCAACCCAAGAGCCTGAAACTCTGAGCATTTGGTTTTGGGGTGTAGATGGGGCTTAGGGCTCCTAAGCCAAAAGCCCTAAACCCTAAGCCCTAGACCCTAAGTTTAAGGTTTGACGGTTTAGGGCTCCTGGCTCCTGTGTTCATGTTCATAACACGACG